TAGCATATAAGACATAAATGCAACTTTATAAGATTTTTTTTTGGGGGGGGTTGGGGTTTTTTTGTTTGTTTGTTTTGTTTTTGGTCAGGCTCTCATTATGTAACTTGTAGCTTTGACGGGCCTGGAACTCACAGAGATCCTCTCGCCTCTGCCTCCAGAGCGCTGAGATAAAGGTGTGTGCCACCATCGCCTGCTTATTTAAAAATGTTCTTGAGTATCCTACACATATTGACACCCTGTAATTCCAGTATGAGGGAGGTAGAGGCAGAAGAATCAAGAGTTCAAATAAAAATGTTTCAAATAAATTGTAAGAAGTGATTAATTTTATTGTCTCAGGTTTTTGGTGTGTGCACTTAATATGTATAAATTGTGTGCATATGTGTGTACCTGCATGCTCTCGACTGTGTACTCAACTATGTGCATGTGAGACCAGAGAAAGATATTGGTGTCTGCTATTACTCTCCTTCCTGTCCTCAGAGACTGGCTCTGTCACTGAACCTGGACTAGGCTGGTGGCAAGCAAGCCCCAGCAGTAGGGTCTCTGCCTCCCACAGTGCTGGGGCTAAAGATGCATTAAAGCCCACACCTACATCTTTAAGTGGGTGCTGGGATATGAACCTGAACCCTCATGCTGGCTCAGTAAGTTCTTACCCACCTAGCCTCACTCCATTCCTCTTTTTAAAAAAAAGTCTCAGGGCTGAGAGATACTGCACACATGAAGGCCTGAATTTGGGATCCCCAGCACCCACATAAAAGCTGGGTATTCATGCACATCTGTAATCCAGTGCTGGGAGTCAGAGAAAGGCAGGTACCAGGGCCTCAGTGGTCTAGCCTAAATTGAAGCTCAGCTCCATTAAGAGATCCTGTCTCCCCAGCACTCGGGAGGCAGAAGCAGGCAGATCTCTATGAGTTCCAGGCCAGTCAAAGCTACAAGTTACATAATGAGAGCCTGACCTGCAAGAGCTAGTTCCAGGACAGGCTCCAAAGCTACACAGGGAAACCCTCGAAGAGAGAGAGAGACAGACAAAGACAAGAGATAGAGATCCCGTCTCTAAAATAAAATAAATAATAAAAATAAGGTAGAGAACAATAGAAGAAAATGCTTGACTTCAACCTCTGCTCTTCACACCTGCAAGCACAGACAAGAACACATACATCCAAATAAACAGGATCAGGGTATCATGGAACCCAGGCTGGCCTTGAATTCACCATATAGCCAAGGGTGACATTGACCTCGTGATCCTCCTATCTCCATCTCTCAAGTGCTGGGATTATAAGTGTGTAGCACCATTCCCAGTTTATTTGGTTCTGGAGATTTAATTCAAGGCTTTGGGCATCCAAGTGAGGCACACCCTCAATCCGGAATTGTGTGGTTTTTGGTTTTAAAGAAGGGTCTCACTTTGTAGCTCTGGCTGGCCTGCAACTTGCTATATAGACCAAGCTGGCCTTGAACTCATAGGTGCTGAAGATTTATTTTTTATTTTATGTGCATGTGTGTTCACCCATGCATGATGCATCTGAATGTATGTATGTGTACTATGCGTGTGAAGTACTTGAACAAGCCTGAAGAGGGCGCTATATCTTCGTGAATTGAAGTTACAGGCCACTGTGGGCCTCTATGGGAACCAAACCTGGGTCCTTTGCAAGAACAGCAAGTACTCTTAACTGCTGAGCAATTTCTCTAGCCCCTGAACCTTAATTCTTAAGCAAAAACCTTTCCTCTTATTTTCTTCTCTCTTCTCTGTGTGTGTTATTGTTGTTATCATTGTTTGATACTGGTGCTCAGGTAGACCAGGCTGGCCTCAAATTCTCTATGTGGCTATCACTGGCCTTGAATGTTCATCTTTGTCTGTATTTCCCAAGTGCTAGCATTATGACCCTGCTAACCATGCCTAGACAATACATCAGTAACTCTCCTGATGAATTTTGAGTTATACGTGAAGCACTTCTGCATACAGAAGTGTGATGGCTTCCCTGAGGAAAGCAGACCATTTTTAAGTGTGAACCATTTGGCATGATCGCATGTGAGTGTGTGTGTAATACCATGTTTACTTGAAAAGTGACAGACAAACTCTGCTTCTCAGACTCTGATATCCGGCAGATGTGTTCTCAAAAAGGAAGATAACTCTGTCACTTCAGAGAAAAATCTGACAGAATTTGTTACCAAGTATACCATTAAAATTTTCAGGTGAAAATTCTAATTTTGAATAACTTCTCTCTGGCACTATGACTTCACAGCTTCCCCAAATTTAAAACATAGGTGTAGACTCTCTGGTGAAATAAATCAAGATAGTAAAGACTGATATTCTGATGTAGTGCATTTACTGAGATGTGTCAACATTTAAAACATCTGTGTGGCTCAGTGAATCAATATTTTCTAAATGACCAATGAATGGCATAACAAAATTATGTATGAATAAATGATTACCCAAAGGAGAATAAGAAGTTCAAGGTGGACATAGTGGCACACACCTTTGATCCTAGGTAGAGGAAGGTGAGAGTTCCAGGCCAGCCCAGTCTACATAGGAAGTTCCAGATTAGTCAGGGCTACATAAAGAGACTGTCTCAAAAAAAAAGAAAAAAAGTGTGTGTGTGTGTGTGTTTTGTTTGAGACAAGGTCTAACTGTAGTCCAGCTTGGCCTTGAACTAGATCTGTAGCAGAGGATGACCTAACTTCCTATCCTCCCATCACCACCTGAGTGCTGGGATTACTGGTGTGAGGCACCCTGATCAATTCATGCTGTGTTGCTGATGGAAGTGCATGCTAGGCAAACACTACCAGCTAAGCTCCATTTCCAGCCTTTACTTTTATGATTTTTAATGAATACATAAATATTTTTACATTTCCTGGGCTTGCATCCTAATACAGCAATTGTTGATTCTGATAACACCTCAACAAAAGCAATTGGGGGATCAGTAATTTCTAAGAGCATAGAGGCTCTAACAACAAAAACATTGGAGAGTTCTGCATTAGGCTATCCGTTTCTCTAAATTCACACCATATTAGCTGATGTATTTGAGTGTCTGGAAGCTTCTATGTCAAAACCACACTGCTGAATGTTTTTGAAGTATTACTTACTCTAATCCGGTACTGTTGAAGGGGCTGTAGCCTCAGAGCTGAGAACAATAGGCCTTGCTCTGCAGGACTCACAGGACAAACGGGCAAGACTTTGTGGCAGGAGACTAGGCTGAGAATCAAAGCTTACACTGGAAAACAAGCACCTACTAGATGGAAGGGGCCAGGAGGGAAGGTGGCCAGGGAAGGACTTCCCAGAAGAGCTGACACTTGATCCGAGCCCTAAAGGCCACTAGCAATCAATTTAGGGAAGGGTGTTTTAGAGCGAGGGAACAGAATGCATAAAACGTGGATGCTGCTAAGCTCGATATGAATGTAAGATGAAGTACTGGAGTGAGGCTGGGAACTGAAGATGAGGCTAGCCAAGTAGGCAGGGGCCCAAACCAAGAGCAGTTCTACCATATTAAGAAATGTGAATGTTTTGGTTTTTTTTTTTTTTTTCCCCTTTTTTTTTTTTTTTGGTAACTGAAGGTGCAAAAGGAATAGGGAGGGGGCACTGGAGGATTTTTTTTTCTAATGCAACACACACACACACACACACACACACACACACACACACACA